GCCGTGAGGGCAACAGATCCCATAAGAACTCTGCAGTTAAGCGTGCCCGAGCGAGAGCAATCAGGGATGGGTGACCCCCTGGGAAGTTTTCGCGCCAGGAGCCCAAAGCGGACAATATTGTGATACGTGCCAGAGGGGGATGTTACAGGTAAGGATAGTCGAACAACTTTCTCGTAATACAAGATTACGGCTTGGTGAGGTGATAACCAATCCATGTCGATTACTACGTCGAAGCTTCTGATTGTCATAGGCATGGGATTTATCTTAAAGACTGGGTTGTTAAGAGTTAGGATGTAATTTGTTAGTTTCGGACTAGCCATGAGCCATTTTTTTTGTATAAGCTTCGTAGGATCAAAAGACAATTATTCTCCCTAATGTTTAAGTCTATGGTTTATGACTGAAATTGTTTATACAAATTTCATGAGATTGTTCTTACCTGATTGAATATAGAACATTTTATATCCCATTTAAAAAGAAATACATGAAATCTTTGAAATTGGTATAGGAACAATAGTTCAAAACCAAATTTGAATATTTGAATATGGTATACTAATGTGGAATCGTCTTCTTGGAATATGAACTGCATTACCAAAGATCCAATTGGATAGGATTTTGGAATTCATTTGACTACAAGTCTTATGATAAATGCGAACCCTATTTGACAAGAAAGATGAATATCTGAAGGACTTGGTCTAACTAATTGTCCATTTAGATTTGACCACAAAACGTAATGATTAAAATGCATAAAAATGTTTGGACGAAATGTATTTGTGAAATCATAGTCTTGTGGATATGAATGATAATTGCATTGCCAAAGATCCAGTTAGACAGGATTTTGGAAATCATTCGACATCAAGTCTTATAATTAATGCGAATCTTGTTTGTCAATATTGATGAGATTTGCATCACTTGGTGATGAAAATATCTGTTAGAATTAGTTTAGACTAATTAAGTTGTTCAGATTAACCACAATACATGACTGGTGTGTAAATAATTATGCACTAGTTTAACCTACTAATGTAACTAATTATTACTTCATAAGGCAGTGTACCTTGTTGAAAATAGAATAGCATAATTAGTCGGGTATCGAACACAGGGAACGAAATGATTAGCCAATTTTATATACTAATTACCTAAATTACTATCTAAATAAGGAATGGGGTTTTCTCTAGTGTTGCAAGACTAGAAACTTAATTAACCAAACTAACTACTATCAACTAATGAAACAAAAACTAAAATTAGAAGAAAGAAACACAAAAGACGATTTTAACCAGGGTAATTGAAAGACTTTCGTTTAGCTTCGATATACTTGCTATTATGGTTGATTTATGGTAGTGCAATGGATTAATGCTTCGTTGGTTACCGATTCCTAAGATGACCAAGTTAATGTTCACTAACCTAATCCTTTAGGAAATAAGTTCATTCATACGGTGATCAGGCGTATAAACTAACAAATTTACTAGTGTTCGATTCGAGTTAAATTAGACTTATAACGGATTGATTAATTTGGTTTATTAAATCAATTCAATATATGATTGGTCGTCATATATTAGCTCCTACAGTTATTTACCCACTTTTCTATTTGACCCTAGGTTTTGGTCAAGACACTAGTTCTACAGTTTTGCAATTCACAAAGATCATAAGATTCAAGTTCAATCAAGAGTGATGGTCATGTAAACTTAATTAAACTCAACAATAAACAGAAAAGTAGTTCTCATAAGCATAGAGAGGTTCTTTAATAAGCTAAAGTAACAAATAACCACCTATTCATAATCCAAACCATAAAAAGTCAAGCAATCTAATCTAAACAAAAATCATAGGTTTTTAGCCCATGATTTCAGCAGGTAAACACATAAAAATTAAATTCAACTTAATATTCATGATTAAACACAAGAAGAAAAACATAATAGGAAGTTATATTGCCTCAAATCTCTCAAATCCAAGCTATAATCGATCTTCTGCAACTACAAGCTTCAAAGTGTGTTCTTGGCCTTCAAAAGATGACAATAAATCCAGAAAAAGTTGTTTTTCGGAGGATTATGTCTTCTATATATAATTTTCTCGAAGTCGGTCCACCACACCATGGTAATTTCACTAGGACGTGGTCTTCTAGTTTATCACGTAATCCACAAGTCTTCGATATTCGACGGGAAACTTCAAAACATCACGTCGTGGGAATGGTTCTTTTCTTCATTTATGCTTTGATCCAAGTTCCTAGCTTCCAGCTTCCAGCTTCCTTTTTGCTCTGGGCATGTCTTTTACCACTACAACACATCATACAATAGATTAAGTACCTTTTGTTCTATAATGGGCATAAAAATGGCTAAAAATATTAAGATATGATGTAAAATATATGTATATATATGCACATATCAAAATACCCCACACTTATTCTTTGCTTGCCCCCATGCAAACTTATTTTTATCTTTCCAATATTGCATAAAACAATCCATTTAAAACCTAGCCATTATCCCGAGACCGCAATACATGTATTTATGTCTATGATTCCTAAAAACTTCCCATTCCTAAATACTCACAATTCTTATGAACCTTCACCCCTTAGCTTATACGACATGTGTTTTTACAGCCTTTCGAATCCATCCCTAGAAATATTTTCTTAACCTCAAGGTATTTTTGGTTAAACTACCAAGCATACATAAATTCTAGAAAGAATTACAACTTTGATACCACAATGGAGCTCTTTGGAAATCATCTCTTCTTTGATATTTGTTTTTCAATTTCTTTGAATTCACCACCTTCTTGTTTGATTTTTGGTATCTTTAACTTTTGATTCTTCGAAATTTTTGATCTTTTTATTTCATACTTTGACAACTCTAAAATTCTTTCAACTTTTTATGTAATTTTCTCTTTTTTATCTCACTTCTTTTTCTTTTTCTTTCACTCAAATTCTACATGCTTAAGTAAGGAGCTTAACTTCAACCTTTATTGCTTAGAGGTATTAGTCTAAGTGCAATGACTACATAAGCTCTCCTTGATGGATTTCAGGTACACGCTACAAAACTTATTACATCATATAAACTACCAGATTATCTTTCATATCTCATGACTTTTCACTAATAATGGGAAGCCACAAATACGCTATAACATTTGGGCTCTCATCGGATCATCCCACACAATACTAGAAAAAAAACTAATTAGCTAGATTTTCCTAAATTAAATTATTATTTCAAGTTTATATGAATGCATATTGTAAAAACAAGTAATTTTATGATAATGCATATTTTCAAAAATCAAATGCTTTTTCCTAATGCAATAAACCCCCTACCCCACACTTATTTGATGCAATGCCCTCATTGCATGCTATGAAAAACATAAAAGTAAAAGAGAGAGAAAAGGGAACAGACTCCCCTGGAATAAAAGTTGCAAGGTTGATCGTGTTGCTTGTATGTAGGATCGCTCGCAAATATATGTAAAAATGGAAGTGTGTGACTGCTATGGAACTCGTTAGGGAGACTTGGACATTTTGTAGTTCATAAGGTGTACGAAAAAGACTTGAAAAGTGGACTTGAAACAATTGCCACGGTGTGATAAGTAGACCACGTCGTGTTAATTGGGTTACAAATAATATTCGTTTTCTGTAACGACACCACGTCGTGGCAAATGTGACCACATCGTGGTGAGTGTAAAAATGTGAAAATAAGTGCATTTCACAGCAGATTTCTTCAATAAGTTGGTGACTAATGACGATATGAACTCCTGGAAATATGACTCATAAGCTTGGCTTATCAAAGTAATGCTTTATACGCTTAAATTCGCCTCTCTCGTCGCTTCCTAACCCCTCACTTAAATTCGTCAAAGTCTCTCGCGAAAAATACTGCTCTCATTAAACTCGAACTTCTGGGAAATCTAGAGACATAAAACGATAAAAACAAGGAAACAAATAAAACCAAATACTTAAATCCTACAATTACCAACATCCTAGAAAATAGAAAATAAAACAAACAAACACAAACAAAATAAAAATAAAATTGTCATAAATCCACTCAAACAGATAAAAAGGATAATTTCACTCATCATCATCATGTCCTCCTCCACTTCCGCTAGCTCCTCCGTGTTGCTCCGCCCAAAGTTCATCTCATGTCGGAATGTAGGGGTATGAGACCGGATACGCACTTGGGCGTTGGATGTGCATGTGTTGCGTCAAGATGTCGAGGTGCATATTGGTGTAATTAACATCTCGCCCCAAGTTGTCCTAATAACGGCACAAAGCAACATTATACGGGTCTATGGGAAACTCATCAAATCATGGGTGGCTCTTCATCAACATCTGCGAGCCTTTGTCTCACTCTCCTTTCGGTCCGGTCTCTTGGGTTGTCATTTGGAATAGAAAAGTACCCAAACCCATTGTCCACCATAATATTTGCTCGTTTGTAGAGAAGTGGACTAAAAGGTTTACTAGTCTCCACCGTAAGCATAAAAGCCTCTTGTTTATGGAGGACCCCGGACGACCTCGCCAACCTTGTGATTAACATTCCACCATAAAGAGGCGACCCCCGACAATCTTTTCCGGCCCGGTTTTCTAAAAAGTCAGCCTCACATGCCACGAAATATCAATAAGTACACCCGGAGTAATGAGACTCCAAAGAAAATAAACATCCAAACTTGAGACTTTCTCCCCCTCTTGCCGTTGGTTGATGGTATTAGTGATCAATATATGCAAGAGGCGATAAAGAGGAGACCGAATTTCACTTTCTTGGGTTGTCCCCAATTGGTACACACCATTGGTGGTGTTGGGCCAATAGTTTGCTTCCTTGAATTCGTCATTTTTTGTGAAACATTGAGCAATAAACTCAATGTACGATTCGGTGTGAACCTCGAACGGAAGATAGAGCTCCGTCCTCATAGAAAAGTCCGCCAAGCTTAATTCTCTTCTTTCCCCCGCCCAAGCAAAAAATAATGTTTTTCCTATCGTGGACGCCTTTTTTCTTGCGGAAGTGTACCGTGACCAAAAATTCCACACAAAGTTCTTTGTACACCGATTATTGGATGTGAAAAAGGCGTCTCCAAGCCATAAAAATGAACCAACCTTGGACCCCATCAAAAGATTTCGTTAAAAATGGTTCAATTGCCTCCGATAGGCCAACTTCTTCCATCCAGTTCCAGTTGATTTCTGCAGGCATGTGCACCTTTCGTTCCTTCAACCATGCTAGCTTTTCATTCCATTGAATCATCACTTTGGGAGCTACAACATTTGGAAAAGTATACCAAGGTAAATCGGGGTGACTCCCGGGTTGATTTATGCGACCTCGACCCTGCATTATCTGCAAAAGAAACATAGAACACCATTCCAAACAACCAATTGAGAGTTAGGAAGAAAATTAATCAAAACAGGTTAAATTAACAACCACCACGACGAGGACCACGACGAGTCGTCCTGGTCGACGAACATCTTGTATAATCGGGACTGAAATCGAACAAATGTAGTCCATTTCAACTCAAATCAAGTTCTGGCTTTTACTTAGGCCATACAAATACTTGTTTTAGAGTAATATTCATAGCAAAAACACACAAAATCAAGCCCAAATTGAGCTAATTTTCGGAACCCTAACTAACTAAATCCCTAAATAAAGGCTCACAACAGCCAATTCATACCATAGATGCAGCAATACTCGATTATTAACTATGAAAACACTAAAAAATAATACCTTTTTGTTGGAGAAAGCTTGAAACCGAAAGAAGAAATGGAGATGATTTCGCAGAGAGCTCAACACGGCGAGAATGAGGGGGGAAAAGTAAAAGAACAAAATGACAGATTAGGATAAAAAACCCTAATTTTGACTGCGGGTGAACAGTCACCACTTCGCGATAAATCCTTCACGTCGTGATGTTATTAATCGTTTTGTCGAGTTCTATGAAGCCACCACATGGTGGTGAATTAGAGGTGAAGAAAATAATTTACTTTTGGCAAAGTTTTCATAAAAACTTCCACCCCACATTCATTCCATGCTTGCCCTCTCAATAAAATCCACATAAAAATTCAGAGGAGTGAAAAATCAACAAAATAAAGCAAAATAAGCAAATAAAAAAAAATAAAGCAAATAAGAGAAAAGGGAAAGAAAACGGAAACTCAAAACCATAGGTTGTCTCCTACAAGCACTTCTTTTTTGGGGAGTCATGAGTCGGACTCCTTCCCGCTCTACGTTGATGCGGTTACTGCAAATTTCAAGGTTTCTCCTTCAGTTTCCTCAATTGGCATTCCTTCCTCATAATTCTTTACCCGATGTCCATTAACCTTGAAAGGAGTTCCATCTCTTACAATTAACTCTATAGCCCCATGTGGAAATACTTTTTTCACAATAAATGGTTCGTCCCACCGTGTCTATAATTTCCCAGAAAAAAGCTTCATTCTTGAGTTGAAAAGGAGAACCTTTTTCCCTTCTCGAAAATCTTTACATCCTCTTAACCCTGCATCATGCCATTTCTTCGTTTTGACTTTTTAGATCAAAGAGCTTGTGTATGTTTCATTTCTCAATTCCTCTAGGGCATTCATTTGCACTAGACGATTAGTTCGTAGTTCAACCAACTCAAAATTGCAAGTCTTCAAAGCCCAAAACGCTTTGTGTTCAATCTCTACCGGCAAATGACAAATTTTCCAAAAACCAACCTATATGGTGTAGTACCAATAGGTGTTTTATAGGCGCTACGAAATACCCACAATGCATCATCAAACTTTTCCGACCACTCCTTCTTGTTGCTACCAACCGATCGTTCAAGAATTCTTTTTAATGCCCGATTTGTGACTTCGGTTTGCCCACTTGTTTGCGGATGGTAAGGTGTTGGAAATCTATGATATACACCATATTTTTTTAACACTTTGGCTAGTTGTTCATTTGAAAAGTGAGTTCCCCGATCACTTATTAAAGCCTTTGGTACACCAAAATAATCTCTTTATAAATTTTACCACCACCCGAGCATCATTTGTAGATAAGGCTTGTGCTTCCTCCTATTTTAAAACATAGTCAACTGCCATGTATTTATTCCCTTGAGAAATCAGAAATGGCTCCATAAAACCGATACCTCAAACTTGAAATACTTCACAAACTTGGATGTTATTTTTGGGGCATCTCATTTCAGGATGAAATGTTACCCGATCTTTGGCACGAATCACATTCCTTGACAAATTTGGTGGCATCTTTAAAAATTGTAGGCCAATAGAATCCTGAATCAAATACCTTCTTCGTCGTGTAATGCGCTCCATGATGTCCTCTGGTGGGCCCGTTATGACAATGCTTCAAGATTCCCAAACTTTCCTTCCCGAATATACATCTTCTTATCATTCCATCTACACAGCTTCTGAAGAGATATGGTTCAACCCAAAAGTAGTACTTGATCTCGGAAAATAATTTCTTCTTTTGTTGATGGGTCAATCCTTTTGGAAGATAATCACTAGCCATAATTGGCTATATTAGCATACCATGGCACCTCTCCTACGATTACCATTAGATATTCTTCGGGAAAATCGTCTCTAATCTTGTGTTCTTCTAATTTTTCCATTTCCGGGTTTTCTAGTCTCAAGAGGTGATCGGTCACCACATTTTCCATACCCTTTTTATCCCTTATCTTGATGTCAAATTCTTGCAAAAGTAGCACCCATCAGATCAATCTTGGCTTAGCATCCTGTTTAGCAAAAAGATACTTAAGGGCAGAATGGTCAGTAAAGACAATAGTTTTAGATAAAACTAAGTAAGGAAGAAATTTGTCAAAAGCATAAACCACTACAAGAAGCTCATTTTCTATGGTAGTATAATTATTTTGAGTCGGATTTAGTGTCTTGCTTGCATAATATATAGGTTGAAATACTTATCAACCTTTTGTCCATGGACCACTCCTACCGCAAAATCACTATCATCGCACACAAGCTCAAATAGGAGGTTCCAATTCGGGGTCATCATTATCAGGGTATTGGTTAATTTCTATTTCAATAATTGAAAGGCTTCAAGGCATTTTTTTGAGAAATCTAATGTGGCATCTTTCAAAAGAGGTTGGGTTAAAGGCCTTGTAATTTTTGAGAAATCCTTTATAAATCGGCGGTAAAATCCCACATGGTGTAGAAAACTTCTTACCCCTTTCACGTTTGTTGGAGGTGGTAATTTGGCTATAGTATCAACCTTTGCACGATCCACCTCTATCCTCGATTTGGAGACTTTATGTCCCAAGACAATCCCTTCTTTGACCATAAAATGGCACTTCTCCCAATTTAAGACCAAGTTGGTCTTTTCACATCTTGCAAGCATCAAATCTAGGTTTGATAAGCAATTGTCAAAAGAGGACCCAAAAACTGAAAAATCGTCCATGAAAATTTCCATGAACTTTTCAACCATATCGTGAAAAATAGCCATCATGCATCTTTGGAACGTGGCGAGTGCGTTACATAACCCGAATGGCATCCGACGATAAGCGAAGGTCCCACTTGGGCAAGTGAACATGGTCTTTTCTTGGTCTTGAGGATCAATATAGATTTGAAAGTATCCTGAAAAACCATCTAAAAAGCAGTAATAAAGGTGACCGGACAATCTTTTGAGCATTTGATCAATAAATGGTAAAGGAAAATGGTCCTTGCATGTGTCATCATTTAGCTTGCGATAATCGATGCACGCACGTCAAGCAGTTGATGTTCTTGTTGGAATGAGCTCATTTTCTTCATTTTTTACTACCGTCATGCCTCCTTTTTTAGGTACCACGTGCCCCGGACTCACCCATTGGCTATCTGATATTTAGTAAATGATACCGGCATCCAAGAGTTTGACTACCTCCTTCTTCACTACATCTTGCATATTTAGGTTTAATCTCCTTTGGCATTGCACCACTGGTTTTTCTCCCTCTTTTAAATTGATTTTATGTGAACAATATGAGGGACTAATGCCTTTGATGTCGGTGATCTTCCATGCGACGATATTATTTTGTTTCTTGAGTACTTCTACTAGGCTTTCCTTTTCATGTTGTGTAAGATCAGCTGCTATGATGACTGGCTTTTGTTCATTTTCTTCCAAGAATGCATACTCCAGATGTCCGGGTAAAGCTTTCAACTTGATTTTTGGTTTTTGTTCAGTAACCACGATGTGGGCATCTTTGTAGTTGTAATTAATCGAGTTTATAAAATGAAATCAGAATATAGAAAGAATTATGAACACACGATGTAAATATGATCTGGTTGGCTCGATTACGCTTTTGCAAGATACAGAGAAAAATAGAGTATAGGTCGTAGACTCTCAAAAGACTACTCTAACTCTAGTATCCATCCCCTATTTATAGGGAATACAAAAGCATACAAAAAATACATAAGGGACTAAGCGTTACAGTTTCGAAACTAACAATGCCCCTATTCAAAACATACAAACTAGTCTTCGATACTAAGTCATGACCCGGAATGCTTCAACACCTCACAACCAATTTCGACCCCTACATTCCCCCCCCCCTTTGTGAGCAGTGTCGAACCTAATTCATCAGCATCTGTACTGCTTGATGTATTACTCTCTTTACCTCAACATACCAATTGATAGTCTTTTGAATTTCTGCTTTATCACCATCGTTGTTTTTCTTGCAGCTATTCATGTAAACAAGTAAATTTATATATTGAGAACTCGTATACTTTTCCACATCACAAACTTGGAAAAGATACTTGATGTTTCTTCCTTTCTTGTTTTTCCCAATAAAAACTATTCCGAGAGGCTTCAAACAGATTTCACCATCTTCATAGTTTTTCAAACTTCATGTTCCTTTTAACATTGATATAGGCACAGACACCTGTTTTCCCACTGCTAAAGCCAATTCGACATTAGTCATTGTAAGAAAATGAAAGTAATTTTCATTGAATAGCTTTATGTATGCATGCCCAATTAAGAAGTCTTCTTTGGTTGTCATTTGAAGCTTCGAAACATCAACTCCCTTCAATATCCTTGCTACACTGATAGGATCGTGAAGATTCATCAATGGGAGTCTGCAACCGAGAAGTCGAATGCGACATTGTTTGCTCGGACTGCATGAAAATGAAAATTCTGCAACACTCCTTCGAATAAGACGTCCTTGGAAATATTGAGGACTCTTACTATTTTCACCAGAGTCAACCTTCCTCTTCTTTCTTTCCAAGGATAGCATGGAATCGAAGCTTTAACCTCAAGAATTCTTCTTTGTCTTAAAATTTGTCTAGCAATCTGATATTGATTAGACTTGAACATCATTTCGTTAACAGGGAAGGCTAACTGATTGAAGTTAGAGTTTTCAGTAGAATAACTCTTCTTGGGAATCTTTTGGAAATCAT